ATATTTCTCTGTACGGCGGTCTTCTTGTCTTTTCGGGTCTTGTTTTGTGGGATACACAAAACATGATTGAACATGCTGAAAATGTCGAATCTACTAGTGAACTTTCTCCAATTAATGAATCACTCACTATTTATCGTGATGCAATCAATATTTATATTCGTCTTCTCACAAATGACGGTAATAGCTGATAGTAAATGTGCCATTCGAATTTTTCTTTTTCTTTTTCATGTGTCAGGGAAAAGCAAAGCAAAAAGTGATAAACAAAATATGATTGCAAGCTCCTATTGTTCTGATAAAGATATAATCGTTTATTTTGTTTCGTTAATTGGAGAAAGTTCACTAGTAGATTCGACATTTTCAGCATGTTCAATCATGTTTTGTGTATCCCACAAAACAAGACCCGAAAAGACAAGAAGACCGCCGTACAGAGAAATATTATCTACCATGGTGAGAGTACGAATAGCTGTGATTGGTATCACCAGAGAACCGAATGATGCAAGGCAAACAACAGTAAGACCAGCCACTAAAGTAACCTTTGAGACTTATTCAGAGCGATGAATTATTACAACTTACTTAATGGAGCTCCTAACCATAGATATTGTTGATGTTGAGCTGTCATACCAATAGCAGTGATCGAACCGACAATGCCTGCGGTCATAAGAGCAGCGCGAGCCATAATAGCAGGCTGCATCAAATAGAGAGGTGCGAGGGAAAGACCTATAGTACCATTGAACAGTGTCCATGATGCATATTTGAGTTTAGGAAATTTTTTGTCGTTAACTTTCAGTGTCTGATGAAGAGTACCAAGCGTGCCCAGTAGTGACACACCCAAATAGACCCATTTGTTCACTTAAATAGAGAAAACAATTGACTTTCAAATATCTTCACGCACGGCGACTTACGTTTCATGATGCGAGCCGACCAGCCAGCTCGATAAAATACATAGGCAAATGCGCCAGTCATGACGAGACCACCAGTGAAATGAGCATAAGTTGAACGTAAATGTTCTTTGACTGAAGTTGAAAGGGTTTGATTAAGTTTGATAGCATTGATTAGCGAAACTTTTGTAGAGTTTTGTTCTGTAGTCGATTCAACGATTGTTGGATTGTTGAGAATCTAAACGATCGAAATAGTCGAATGAAGTGATAATCCTTCATTTTTGTACCTTATTGAGTAAATAACCGGTGCCTCCAATAGCGACAATTGCAAGTCCACTACGAATAAATGCTTGCCGTTGTCGATTTACTGAACCTTGCTCAACGACAATCGATTGAGCTCGTGTCAATACTCGAAGAGTAGCCAATGAATTGAGACGAACAATTGATGAGCGAGCAACTATAGACAGCATCTAGTCTTGTTGCTGAAATATGGAGATAATTATTCAACAATAGAATACGTGAATATTTTTGTTTGAGTCGATATATGAAGGCGTATTTCTCTTCTCTTTTTTTTTTTATACCTTTCATGATAGGAAAAAACCTGCCATACATTTTATGACGTAAATAAACTTTATTTCTGTCAAAAACATTATTCATAATTTGTCTCGCGAAGTTTGCGCACAGAATTGCATGTGATGACGTAAATCTATTTCATACAGGTAAACGGGTGCGAGTAGACGACAAGAAAAAAGCAAAGCATACTCTGAATGATTCAAACAGAACGAAGAAAATTTCCAACATAGCATTACGTGACACAATTTGCTGTGTTAATAACCAGTTATTGCCCTATATCTTATGCTTAGGGCAATCAAGAATGTGGATCGGGGTATTTTCTACATCCACATCTATACCGACACTCTTAAGTTCTTGGTCGAATCTCAGCAGAAAATAAATCGTAGAGTACATGATTTTGCATGGTAACAAACCAGTAAAAGGATATCTTCAAGAAGCACTTTTGAACTGTAGGAAATCTGATTATACTCATAGATAGAACTCGTCAAGTCATAGTCGGAGCGAATTACTCGATGAATCTCAGTGGAAAATACTTGAATCTATCGATAATTTGACTCAAATCCAATTTGTTTCTGTATTATGTGATGAATATCCAAACCATCATCTGATTTGTTACATGTTTTCAACTCACGATACGTACTGATTTCGTGTTCGTTGAGAGCTCATGTATTAGTATTAATTGTAATTGAAGATTTTGAGATTTTGTCCATTATTAAAAGACTATATTGAGACTGTGCACAACTCATCTTTGTATATGTTCTCTTCATATACTCATTCTAAGTAGAGACAGAAAGTATAGAAGAAAATTATAAAAATATATATTCACGATAACATCACTGAATAAGTATTGTGAAAGAAGATTATCTTGTGTTTATGTAAATGTACTGAGATTGAATTTCCAAAAAGGAGACATTGATTTCCCTAACGAAGAATCAAGACAAGATTCTTTTGTCGAGTGAGGATCTTCTTTTTATTTCGTTGACACCCACACATACTACACTACCTGCATTCTGATGAAAGTACCTATTGATATTCCTAAAATATTGAACAATTTATGAATATCGAAGGTATAGCCCCAAAACACTTTATCTTACTCATTCTTCAAATTATCGTTTCCTATATTGCTCTCAGTGATTCAATATATTTCTTTCTAATACTCGCTCTAATGAGTCTGTTTTATGGAATGTCTCAAACATCATTTTATTGAAAAAAAACAACAATGTGATCAGATCATTTGTTGAGCGAGTACTGAAAAACTCAAAACAAAATTACTTTGGCAAGTAATAGAAAAACCAATCTTTTCTTTCTTCATCTATAGATGAATGACATCAGATTTTTTTTTCATCAACACTGACGTCTAAAGATGTAAGACAATCCATTGATCGGCAGCTGAAATTCTTTTATAGCTTTTAAAAAGTCTTCCTAATATCGAGAAATTTTGTAATGAAAACGATGGTAGATAATTTATTGACAAGAAGATTTGCAAAAACTGATTTTGAACATCGAAAGTTTTCTAAAAATCAAATATCGATTTCGGTGTTGTGGCAGTGATGACTCAGCCGATCAATTTGCATATCTACTAACCTTATAACTTAGAAACTTTTCAATATTTTTCTAAATAAATACTTCTTTTATCGTTAATAAAAAAAGATTCAGTTCACTAAGTCATATTACAAGAGAGATTTTTGGGATATCCTACGGTCTATCAAATATCGAGCTCGGTATTCATTCACGCTTGTTTTTTAATTGATTGATCTAATTTACATTTCAACATTATGTTTCAATTGATTTGTTCTTTCTTTTGAAATAAATATACAACAATTCAGGCCGGTTCACCTAAAAAACGCCATGCTTGGCCGAATTTGAACGGAAGATTTTTCGAATACAGAACAATCGAACTTATTCATCATAAATTATATTTTAGCTTTTCATATATATTCAACATCGATAGATGTCATATCACATTTCGAACACAACTATATCATTTTTGTATCATTGAATGTTGATCTACAGTTTGATATTAATGGGTCATCTTCTTTTAGACGCTAACAGCTACCGAATAATTAATATATAATTATGTTCCAGTTCATTTTTTCAAAATTTTTATTTTTGAATAAACAACAATAAATATAATCAGTTTGAGTTGAAATTTTGTGCGAACATTGTGTGTGCATTATTTTATACATGAAAGAAAATTTCAGCTTAATGTTTCGTGGGAGCTAGGGTGATTTTAGTAGATATATAACACCCATTTTTTATGTCTACCGCATCTCCAATGGTCTTCAGCACACTTGATTGAAAAACTTAGTTCATTTTTCGGTTTTCTTTGTTTGCTTGTCTTGATACATACATTAAGTCAAAAAAGTCCTCATGAAAACTAAGAAATTTTCGGAAAAGTCAAATGTTGGTTAAGGGGACCCCCCCCCCCTTTCCTGAGCCAAAAAGATTTTTTTTTTCAATTGTTTTTTTTTTCGTGTAAAGGTGTATCAAGGTCCCCTCTATGTGTGCTACAAAAATCAGAACCATCAAAGGTCGGGAAGTCTCTAGAAAACCAGGTTTTTGGAGACGGATGCATTAAAAAAAATTTTTTTTTTTTTTTAACATAAAGTTATATTATGATATGGTATACCTATACCTACGTATAAGCGGAAAAAAAAATTTTTCTAAAACTTTTTTTTATTTTGCATTTTTCTCGAAACTAGTTTTTTGGGTATCAAAAACCAGTTTTCCCCCTTTTTCTCCGCCATTTCAAGTGCGATCGGGCTGAAATTTTTTTTGGTGAGACTTCAAGTGATTTGGGTTGGCCGTTTTTTTTTTTTTTTGAATATTTTCTACTAATCAAGTTTGGCAGGCTTTGCAAAATTTTTAGGATCCAAAAAACTTAGAGATTTTGGGAAGTCTTCAGTATTTTGCTTCTTTAGCCTGAAGTATTTGGAATTTTTGAAAAAAAAAAAAAACGGCCACCCCGATTTGGTCCGTCTACCCACAGTAAAAATTTCAGCTCAAACGGATGAAATCTGTGGATTTGCGGGGGGGAAAACTTTTTGCAAGTTTTTGACCTTGGGGTCTCTGGAAATCCATGAAGATGAGGTCTGGCAAGTTTGTGCCCATGATAACTTTTGCTCTACTACTCGAGACCTACCTACCCTGAAAGTTTCAGGAATTTTTGATCGACCGTTTCTTAGAAACGCCGGAAAGGGGGGGTCCCCTTAAGACGTCCGCTGCTATATTCACTGCAACAATTTCAGGGTTTGGGTGTGGATGTGTGGATGTGGGTGTGGGTAGGTGGGGTTTGGGTGTGGATGTGTGGATGTGGGTGTGTGATGTGGGTGTGGGTGTGGGTATGGGTGTGGGTATGCGACCTCAGATATCTCTGATTCACCAACACCCCCATCCCCACCCACCAACAACCACATCTTCAAACTTTGATGATTCCATACCGTTACTCTTTCAATATCATCGAATTTGTCGTGAAACTTTGATCCATACAAAGACTATCTGTTTTCGTGGTGATGTCTATCTTTGTATTTGTGGTAAAGATTTTTATCGGGCTGAATGTTTTGGTTACGATTTATCTAGTGGTCGATGTCCGTATTGCATGTCAGATGGTTTCTGTCTATTTGATAACGCTGAAGATAATCTCAATACGACCCGCTTATGTCCACGATGTCATTATGGAGAAATTTGTCAATTTTCGAATGAACTGTTGAGTTTCACATTAGATTCATTGATTTTGAATGATATGTAATACCACCGAATACTCGCCTCTGTTTAGCTCACCATTGCGACAATTGTCTTTCTCATCGGTTTTTTCAATAACTTGTGTTGTTTTCTGACATTTGTTCGCTCACAACCTCGTCGTTTTGGTGTTGGTATTTATCTTCTACTTGTCTCTATCATTAGCCCATGTTCCCTCTTCTGTCTTCTCCTTAAAATGATCCATATTATTCTATATAGTACTGGCACATTGGTCAATCATACTCATTTAAATCTCTACATGTGCAAGACGTTCTCCTACCTTCTTTCGGTTTCTACTCGAATCACTTGTTGGCTTAGAACTTTAATAACTGTTGAACGTCTTTGCATGATTCTTTTTCTCACATTCACAAAAATAAAGAAACTAAAATTAGCTCTTTATCTGAGTTCGTTCATTGGACTAGTGGTGGCTGGTATGCATAATCATGAAGCTTTATACTACAGACCAATCATTGATCCATCTTCTCCATCAGAAAAGATTGCCATCTGCGTCACAGATTATCATGAGTTCACTTTAATGACGTACAATCGTGTGAGCATTATCGTGCACCATTTCGTTCCTATTCTTATACAATTTCTTTCAATCACTATTCTCATTATTCAAACAACATACAATCGTCTACGCACTACCAAAAAACAAAATGACAACACATGCCTTGCTATTCTCAAGAGAAACATTCAAATGAATAAAGAACATTATTTTACACCAACAATTATTATTCTTAGTGCTCTATCGCAGATACTATTTTCATTTACTTACGGTTGCACTGAGTTGAGCAAAGGTTGGCAAAAATATACGCTATTAATGACGTACCTCTTATCGTATTTAGCACAAGCATTAGGATTCATTCTGTATGTTTCACCATCGAAAACATATACTGAAGAATTTCAGAAGACAAATATCGGCAAATTATTGATCAAGACATTGTAAAACAATAATCACAGAATGCATCTTGGCTTTCATATAAAAACTTCTTGCTAAAATGATATCTAATCTGCCTCAATAAAATCTTAAAGGACAATCATTATTTTTTTGATAACCAGTGTGGGTATTGGTACTTTTTGTAGGCATAGTTGATTCCCTCAGCTACAATCACACTCACACCTACTCACTCATACTCGAAAACCTGAACTCTACATGTATCGGCGTCGAAAAGTTATTCAAAAAAAAAAGTGGAAGCTATTTTCTAAAAAGGCTAATTGTAGTTTTCTCATATCGACCGACTTAAAACAACAGAGACACTGGCTAATACACACTGAGTCAAATAATCAGTATTAAAAGTATACTCATAAACATTAACTTTTTCTGAATGTTTATGAGAATCAGATAAAAATATACTTTTATTCAATAAACTAAATGCTAAGGTTAATCATGATCATTTGAGAAAGAATACTTCGTGCACACAAACGCTTTTAATGTTATGTCTATTTATTGGTTTACATAAGTATCCACTTGTAGAAGGAACAATCCTCAGATTTACGAAAGCATGACATACACAAACCAATTCATAGTATCCGTGTTGACTTTCAGATAAAATGTTAATATATAAGTGTTGCCACTCACAGTCGAAAATGATTGGATCAGATAATCGTAAGCATTTTTATCACCACATTTGTCCACGTAGCAGTATGTTCCCAGATGGCAAGGACTTGTTGTAATTTGCCCATAATCATTTGTACCGCAATTAGCATTTGTAGCACAGTATTGGGTCCATCCTGTGAAATCACCCGTTTCAAATCCTCCATTCACAAGGATATTTACGTTATTAACTGTATCATTCACAGATACATCGTCCAAAAGCCAATAGTGTTGAGCAGCAACACTTTCACCGGTGATGATAAACGATAGAGTTGCTGAAGAATCATTAGCATTGAATGTATAAGTGTACAGTTGATAAGTAGTCGAGGCAGTGTTGGAACGAATAGAAAATATTGCTCCTACCGTATTTGGATTGGTACATGATGGAGCTATTCAAAGTAAAATCGTTACATCTGTCAATCAATACTACATACTAATATTGAATACTCACTTGTTGTCGCTGTCGTTGTAGCTAGATGAACAATGATGATAAATATGAAACAGAGAATATGTTTTCCAGAAAAGTATTCTGTTGACTTCGATCTTACTACGTATCATGCTTACATCCATCGCCAGTCTTTCATGCCTACACCTTTGTTATCGAAATACGTACGGAACAAAAAGCAAAAGTCAAGAAAGTCAACCGAACAAAAGTATGCTCAAGACTGCAATAGGATATTCATCAATTTGCACTGTTTCAGGGCGATGATCATCATACTCGAGGTCCTTTTGTTAATGATGAACAGACCTCGAAGGAGTCAGATTATCCAGTCCAGCTGGGTATTTTTATTTTTCTTTCAAACTGTTTTTCTACATGATGCATTCACTTTAACTATTACAAATTCTCAAAAATAGTTTACGAGAGAAACTATATCAAAAAATTCAGTGCAATGAGTCGAAAGATAATACATATTATTTTGCATAAATGTGAAACAGCTCCTGATTCACAGATCGCGAGAGCTGAAGCTGGCCAGTTCTAGTTTACAACAGCTTTAAAGTTTTGAAGAGATACCTAAGGTAGGTATCCTTAACTTTTCAAACATTATCTTATAGAGAAGTTACATGTCATCAAAATGTATCGTAAGGCAGGGGGAGGCGACCTACTAGTTCTCAAGGACCGTCCTATGACAGTACTTATGAGTCCTGAAGGATTGCTCTAGGAGAAATCCAGAAGTTCTCAAGAGCTATTCTGTAGGGTAGCTAAAATTCACTATGTGAGAGATGTTACCATTACGTTACTACGTCACTGGTAACAAGGCCATTATTAGCTACCAAGTAACGAAGAAATGGATTCGATACCAGTCACCGATGACAGTAACGATCCAGCATCTGTCGTCTCAAATGCTGGCAGGCACTCTTAGGCCCTGAAGTCCTAGTATATGGAGGTACCTTTGAATCTTCAAGTCCTATTATATGGGAAATACCCTTGATTCCTAAAACCATTCTCTCTATGGGAACTATCCTTTGGTCCTGAAATTCTACTGTAGAACGATCTCCTTGGATCCTGAAATCCTAATAGACTTGTACTTGTCCAGATACTAAGAAAGAAAACACCTTCAGAAATCTTGATCGCTGGAAAAATGGATCAACTAAATCGTGTGATTCGGTTTCGCGGTTATATATGGGCTAAATCATTCATTAGCGACGTGACATTGCAAACTTCGAGTATGCATATCTTGGAATTACCAGCTAGTTTAGGTGCGATTTATGCATGTTGTACGAGTTTCTATTTACTCTATATGCCATAACAAAATCAACATTATAGACCTTTGTTCAGAGGCGTTATTAAAAGAAAAATAGCGTTAGCGACGTGACACCCAAAAAGGACATTAACTGTTACTTGATATACTTTGGTTTTTAAAAATTTCAAACTGTTGCACGACTATCAAAAACTTAATGCACGATTCTACACACGGCTCCAAAGGTTACCAAATCCCGGTGTAAAATTATTTTGCGTTTGTGTAGGTTTTTCAAAAGACAAAAACTATTTGGCGTTAACGACGTGTCAGTTTTGTTAGCAACATGACTGAGTATGACTTCACTACCGATCAAATGCTCTAGTGGCAAAGTGAAAAGTTGGAAATTAATACCAAGTGCTCATAGTAATGGTACGAGTTCCTAGAATAATACTAATGAGGAAACCGCCCCAAGTGATTCACCACTTTTGATCTAATGTTTTGCCAATAATTAGAAACGGATGAGACTAGGAAGCATTCAAACGGATACGGGCCCATGGGCCTTCTTTGCAGAGCTATAGCCGTTTTAATGAGTTTCACCTCATGCAAGGTATGTACCAAAAACAATTCGATGACGAAGTTTCGACCTGACATTCTACTCATGTATAGCTCTCAAGGTCTTTAGAATATCCTATAAGTTTTAATGAAAAAGGATGTCTCTTTCCAGAGATAGTGAATATACAAAAAACACTCTTATATCATAGAGAGGTCAGAAAAACAAAGTTTTCTTGTATTTTCATTATCTCTGGAAGAGAGCATCCATTTACACTGAAATTGTTAGGATATTCTAAAGACCTTGAGAGCTATACATGGGTAGAATATCAGGCCGAAACATCGTCATCGAATTGTTTTTGGTACGTACCTTGCATCAGGCGAAACTCAGTAAGATGACTATAGCTCTGCAAGGAAGGCCCATGGACTCGTATTCTTTTGGGTGCTTCCTAGTTTCACCCGGTTCTACTTATTGGCAAAACATCAGATCAAAAGTGGTGAATCACTTCGTGCGGTTTCCTCGTGAGATAAGCGGTATTTAAAACAGAATGCAATGAAAAATCTCTCTCATAGCACATTGAAATACTGAGACAATATCTTTTTTTTCAGCTAGTCTAAAAAAAGGCTTCACACTCACTTGTTGATGTAGTTGAAGTTGACGTACTACTCACACTTGTTGATGTAGTTGAACCTATATGAGCACATTTTGAGTGGCGATTCGAATTCTGATGTCACTTATTCTCATTTCATGACTCACTTGAAGATGTTGTCTTTGTCGTTATAGTTGTAGCTGTTGACGATGTTGTAGTCGTAGTCATTGATGATGTTGTAGTAGTAGTCGTTGATGATGTTGTAGTGGTGGTCGTTGATAATGTTGTAGTTGTAGTCGTTGACGATGTTTCAGTTGAAGTTGTCATTGATGTTGCAGTTGTCGTCGTAGCTGATGTTGAATCTATAGAGAAATTTCTTACAGTCTATATTGATAGAAACTCTATCAACTCTAATTTTTGTGAAACACGATCTGAATGGAGTGCTGAAGTATATAGGGTAGAAATTTTGAATCCATTCCCTTCTCCCTCACCGTCCACAGGCCGTAACGGAGAAATTGTAGTTTTTAAGCATGAAATAAATGATAAGCTACGTCCTAAAGAAATGTAAGGAAACGAAGTCTATTTAATTAGTAACACTAGGTCCATGGTGTTTCCCATTCTTAATTCTGCAAGAAGCTTTTCATCCTTGGTTGCAAAACTGTTTATCTTTTTAGCAACTAATGGAAAGTGACTTTCCTTAATCAGAAAGCTATGCACGTGTTTGTTTTTTTTAATAAGAAATAAGTCAACAACTAGCATTGAACCTTCGGGTTACCTAATATTCACCATATATCTTTGAGAAAAAACCATTTATTAGAGAAAGATCTCAGTGAAACATATGCAGAATTGAAGTGTGAAGAACGATGGTACAATTTTGATAAAACATAAAATGCTTTATTATGTCCTGAACCATCTAGATTGACGATTGTAGATCTCACCCACCCCTGTACACAACTATATACATTAAAACCAGTTGGATTCGAAAAGGACGAGGGACAGCTTGTCCACTAATCGGCTCTAAATGAAAATCGTTTCAGAAAACAGTTCAATCGTATGGCTTGTGCTTTTTCCTACATCTCTGAACCGCTCTCGCTTTCCGGGAGCTATTTTCGTGAAGATCATCTATTACATTCTATACTATAGCCTAGTAGTCAATTTTAGCACAGATTTGAACCCTGATACTTCGTTGTAGTGCTTATAATCACGACAGCCTTTCACATGAAAAAGGGACACATCTTTTGAGTGGACACAGTTTTTCAAGAGCTACAAAATGATACCAAAATGTGTAAGAGAATATGCTGTGTTCGATGTTTTCTGACTACCACACTGTTAACACCTAGTAGGAACGATTCCTCATCTAGTAGCTTTGCCAATGGATATATCCACTATGGTTTCTAGAACTGAAGCCATGTTTTCAGAGTAGAGACAACTTTTCTGGAGCTGCAAAGTCATGAGAAGACAAGAAAGAGAATGGATTCTCTCGTCGAGGAATTAAAGATTCCGGAGAATCACTATGCAATATTGTGATGGAGTAAGATTCAGGTAGATATTATTGAACTAACTCGACTGGCGATTCAGAAGATTTCTAAAACTCGTGAAGATGAAGACCTACACTGAAAAAAAAATAGGTACTCTACGAAACCTAAAAGGGTTCCGATTTTTGTAACGAAATCGAAACCTTTTTGCGATGTCGTACGGAACTTTCGAAGTTCCGTAAAATCTCACGAAACCTTCTTTAGAGTTTAGGATAGCTCCAAGGGTTTCGTGAGACTTTACAGAACTTCAAAAGTTCCGTATGACATCCCACAAAGGTTTTGATTTCGTGACAAAAATCAGAACCCTTTTAGGTTTCGTAGAGTACCTATTTTTTTTTCAGTGTAGCTTTTAGTCGACGTTATGTTGGATTTCTGTTACGCTTCGGTTGAATCGAAGGTCTCTGTGAGTAATCGAGTATCAACGGATTCTGATGCGGCGTTTCGAGAAGCTTGCGACAGTTATAAAAGATAAGTAATCTTCTGATAGAGAAGTCCCAATGTTCATATGCGTAGTGTATGATGAACGGAGCATGTCGAAATTGTTATAGTACCTATATTGGATCAAGGCGAAAACAAAAATCAGCTGTTTTTATCATATGAATATTGGTCATGTGTGCTTGGAAGGGTTATCGAGTTGTTCTTCTCTGATACAGTCCCTAATTAACAAACAGGATGGATACAGTAGAGAGGGCACTACAACTGCCTTTTCATGGTACACCAAATGACAAAAAGAGAAAGCCACTACGAGTTGGCCCACATGAAATTCACTTGTAGATCACTAATATTTCTCCCACTACAATGTGCTGTAGATCGACAACAGAACATGATATTTTATCAATACAGTCTACCATGCTGAACTCTATCAAATACTTCTTGAGGTTGGGATTTCTTCAAACCGATATAAAGATTCTTCTTTCGACGCACTTTTGTAGTATAATGTGGCTAAGCCGCCTCTTCAATCTACAATGCCTACTTGTACTAGGCTTCTGCATCAAACTTTAGTTTTATGCACAAGCGTCCTGAAACGTTTACTTCTCAAATAATAAACACCGCCGACCTTTTCTCGACCATTGAAAGATGTTCCTAACAATGACATCTAGTTTCCATCATACCCAATGCCTCAGATCGTATATCCTCGAAAGCAGAGCAACCGACGAAAAGCTGATCTGTACTGTTCGTAGAAGTCCAGTTGTTCCAAGAACTCTGATATATAGGTTGCATCGTCGACACTCGTGCTATTTCTTATACCGTCTGATGGTTTCGTGTAGGACCGACGGAATGTTTTCACTGGCTCAATAATTCTCAGTGAGCTTCATGCACAAGCATTACATCATCCTTATACGGTCTTGATCCGCTAATTACTTGACTCAGTATACAATTCCTACCCGGTAATGTCTAAATCTTTATTATCTTGAGTCCAGCTGGTTTTAGCAACAGCGGTTCTGAAAATATTTCCACACATGGTGTCTTAATTTCAATTTAGGCGTCGATTTTAGATTGAAAAAGCATCACTACTGTGACAAGGGGCTGCAATAATATTAGCCATTGTGGTGACCATATGGCCGAAATTGTTAGAGCAGGAGTCTTCCAGCGGAGTTGTAATTGTAACAGTGTAGTCTTCATAAAGTACAAACTGTCTTTACCCTAAAAAAAATGGGTCCAGTTCTGCGAACTATAATAGAGACTCCAATGACAAACCTGCGAGACCACGGATCTTACCTACTAGGTTGTAACAGTGGGCAATACATCCTATTCCACGATGTTACACATTGCAGGAATCAGTTCTATCCGATTCCGGAATTCCGACTGACTCTCATCCACAGCATGCCTTGTGTACTCATAGACGAATATCTAAGAGAAGCGAACGATTTCGGAACGGAATTCCGGGAATTAGATAGAAGCGAAATTAGACGGAATCGGACGGAATCATCACTAATTCGTAGCAATTCCGATGAATTCCTTGTCATTCCGGATTTGGATGTAATTCCGGAATCAGATAGAATTGCTGGAGATTACTTGGAATTTCGTCCAACTCCGTCTGATTCCACTTCGATCTAATTCCCGGAATTCTGTTCCGGAATCGCTCGATTATCCCAGATATTTATCCTTAACTGCAGAAGGCATGCTGAGGGTGAGAATAAGATGGAATCCCGGAATCGGATGCAATTCCGGAACCGCCTTCAATATCGGAATTGCTGAAGGTTACTGGAAATAGCTAGGAATTCCGTGCGATTCCGCCTAAATACGATTCCATCTAATTCCTGAAATTTCGTTTCGAAATCACTCACCTATTTTAGATAATTGTCTATGACTACACAGGGCATGCTGTGGGTGAGGGTGAGATGGAATTCCGGAATCGGATGAAACTGATTCCGGAGGTGGAATCGATTCGGCAATGTGCAACGTTGCGGAATAGGATATATTCTCTTCTCTGTAAATACACAAGGCATGCTGAGGGTGCGGATGAGACAGAATTTCGAAATTTGATGCAGCTCCGGAATTACATGGAATTCCGGAATCGGATGCAATTCTGGTAATTCCGGAGATTAAGGGAACTGGATCGTTTCCAATAAGGCGAGTTACTTCGACGATTGGGAGTTCAGAAATCTGATGGAACTGATTTCGGGGGCGGAATCGATTCCTGCAATGTGCAACATTGGCGAATAGGATGACTGCTCTAATAGTGTTGTCTTCAGAAAACATGGAACACAGTATATTTTCTTACACATTTTGGTATCATTTTGTAGCTCTTGAAAAGCTTTGTCCAGTCAAAGGATGTGTCACTTTTTCATGTAAAAGATTGTCGTGATTATAAACACTACAACGAAGTACTAGGGTTCAAATCTGTTCTAAAAAGGACTACTAGGCTATAGTATAGAACGTAATAGATAATCTTCACGAAAATTGCTCCCGGAAAGCGAGAGCGGTTCAGAGATGTAGGGAAAAGCGCAAGTCATCAGATTGAACTGTTTTCTGAAACGATTTTCATTTAGAGCCGATAAGTAGATAAACTGTCCCCCCCATCCTTTTCGAATCCGATGGACTTAACGCATTAAAAACAAATTAGTTAGACTCGAATAAACAAAAAATGCGGACCAAAGTAGCTTTGGTTCCAAATTCCATGAACCTGATTGGCTCTAGTATACACTTTCCATATTTCTTTAAATGGTCTTCTTCTAGTGGTTAAAATGGTTCAGTATTTCGATTATATATCGATGTGAGTATATTGGAACAAATGTGATCACGCACGAAGTCATATGGAACAAAATGGAGATCGTATATAAACTCTATGTACGGGAATTACAAACAGCCGTTTCTCTTCTCGTGTATAACGTGTAAAACATGGCCATATACATCTGTAAGAGATGTCCATGAGGATGTCACTGGCAGATTTTTAAAAAATTATCACGACAGCGCTACGGCAACTGTCTCTTAAAAGTAAATACGGTGCGGCAGTGATGCCGCAAGTTTTCAGCTGCAACCGGCATATCAGAACCGTAATCCTGAACCATGTAAACCATTGTATTTCTCTCTAGACGAGCGTCCATAACCGTGCTCGTTTAACTTGGAATACTTCTCAAGGAAAAGCCAGAATCATCTTCGAAAGTCTATGATGAGCTGTAATGACGACTAATATAGTCACTGGACCAGAGAAGAATATGACTGGATTCGAGTTTTTGATATATAGCTAAAGGAGAAGGTCGATACCAGAGCAAATATGGCGCTACAGATCATGTTTATCTATACCTTAAGTCAAACTAGTGGGCACTGCGACGTTCTCTCATTATTTACATTTAGATTTTCTGCACATCTTCGAGCTTGAATCCATGAATGATACTCCCCAGACAGTTGCTCCCGCGACAGTTGCTCCCTGGACACTTGCTCCCCAGCGACACTTGCTCCCCAGCGACACTTGCTCCCCGGACATTTGCTCCCCAGAGACATTTGCTCTCCGAACAATTGCTCTCCAATTACACTTGCTCCCCAATTTCACTTGGTCTTAAGCTTGACTTTTGTGTTGAAAAATTCAAAATAATTTGTAAAGACTTGAAAATTAGTAAAAATATGAACAGACTGAGATAATTAGAAATCCGTGCAGGATTTAAAATCACTGGGTAATTCGTGAATTGTAAGCATATAGCTATTTTCACTACATTTAACTAAAATTTCCAAAAGTTGTGATATAGATGTATCCATCAATAATGGATACAGAACAAAAGATAGAAAAATACTGTAAGGGTGGGTGTGGGTGTGAGTGGGTGGGTGTGGGTGTGAGTGGGTGGGTGTGGGTGGGAGGGG